GTTTCAATTTAAAAAATAAACAAGTAACAATAAAAAAGTAAAAAATAAAACTTGTGTCAACTGTATTTAAATTATTTCATATTATCTGTACTCATGATGTTATTGATCAAAATCGAGGAGTTACCTTGAATTATAATGAAGCTAAGACCTAATGGGAGAAGTATCCAAGGGTTACATTGTGAGTGTCTTGTTTACCCACAAATTTGTATGCTGAAACCTAATCTCCGTGCAGCAGTACTAAGAGGTGGCGCTTTAAGGGGGTAATTTGGTCATGAAGACTCTACCCTCACGAAGGGGATTCATCTCCTTATAAAAGGGGCCTGCGGGAGCTTGTCTGCCCCTTCCGCCATGGCAGGACACAGAAGGCACAATCTGTGGGGAACAGGACCTCACCAGACACCAGATCTGCTGGCACATTGATTATCTTGGACTCCTCAGCCTCCAAACTGTGAGCAATGAATTTATATTTATTAATTACTCAGCCTAAAGGATTTTGTAATAGTACCTCAAACAGGCACCAATTCCCCCTTCACTCCTCTCTCTCTTTTTCTCTCAGACACACACACACACACACACACACTTGTATAACTATGGGCATATTGATTCCAGTAAAAATCACTGACTAGGGTGCATGCAATCCACTTAGAATCCCAGTTTGGTCAGCTTGCCAAAGGAATGTGAGGACCCAGCTCTTCCTTAACAGACTAAGAATGTCAAGTGTCTTGTGAACACCTCCAGGTAGTCCAGAACTAAAATATTTCATTACCAATCAAATTTTTTATTTTTTCATCTTGAGGTGAATTCAGTTTGACAAGAAATTTGTGCAAAATAGATTACATAGGGTACCAATTGTAATGTTAAATTCAAGCATATGCAGGTTTTGCATGTGAACATTATGAAAATATATCTTTTAATTAGGGAAAATAAAGTCTTACAACATTTTTATAAACAAATATTAAACCTTGGTCCAGTAAGGCTTTGAAAAGCTGTACTACATGAGAATTCATTGATTTCTGAAAAATTTTTAATCTATGTCCTTTGGGTAACAACTTTGTCCTTCAATGTAATTTCTTTCTTTCTTTCTTTTTTTTAGGTACCAGGTATCGAACTCAGGACCTTATGCTTGTGAGGCAGGCCCTGGAACCACTGAGCTAAATCCCTGGCCCTGTAATTTCTTATGTATTAAGTTGCTATAAGCAAATCTGAAGAGTTAAGATGTATTCAGTTGTGTATGTTCTGAGGGAACCTAAAATTTACAGTTTCCCCATAAGTCAGGAATTTATACGAGTTTGACCTCAAACAGATTTTAATTGTAATTTTGGAGGAATTCTTTCTCAAAACTTTGCCTTCCAGCAAGTTTCCTGAAACCACAAACAATGAAGAGATTATGCTTGGGCCTCCTGCTATGCTAGAAGGAAACACTGTTTTCTTTTCTTTTTTTTTTTCTTTTGGTACCGGGGATCGAACTCGGGTCCTTGTGCTTTCGAGGCAGGTGGCAGAACCACTGAGCTAAATCCCCGGCCCAAAACACTGTTTTCTATTTTCACACAGGTATCTAGTGGTGACTAAATTCTTCTGAGTTTTCAAACACATGGCCTAGTTTGAAAGCTATAAATAATAAATTTAACTATGTCCTGTAACACATGCAACACTCGTAATACCAATATGGAAATGGCCATTAACCCTGAATGTGCTTTCTTGGTCTTGGTTAGGATTGGTGTTTCAAAAGGCAAAGTGGACTTCACTTTTAGCCATCAGCTGCTGATTCCATCAGGGACTCCGGTGACACAGATGCAGGTATAGAACACCAAGAGGTGGTACTAGAATGGATTTTATTCTCTGAAAGAATTCTGTGTTTACCTTGAAATTCCTCAGCATACCCTAAATGAAAGGAGTATTGGTCACAGTTTGGTCTTTTCATGTAACATCCGCAGCTGTCACACTCACAAGAACACTGTGGATGTAAACAAACAGAAGGAGTCTGTCTAAACAACTGCAGGATGTGCAGGGAGGCACGGTTATCAGAAGGATACCTGATCTATCCACTGGTCCTCTCCACTTTCTCTGTAGTAATCAAGACTGTGCCGGTGGCTATTTGGAACACTGTGGTTTCTATGTAGAATATTTAAATATTTAAATTGTGTAAATTTAAACTTCTAACTGCCTCTCTCAAAGGATGGTTTTTATTTTGGAAGAGAAGTGGTGGAAAGAGTGAAAGTCGATCTGTGATATTCTACCCAGCTCTCAGAGGGACCTGAGTTCGGGGCACGAATCACAGAGTACACATCCCTGGGCCTCTGCTGGTGTCTGCGACTCCCAAGTGTGCATCACCCCACCTTTGGCCTCCCTCTTGTAAAGCCTTTCAAAGCATCACTAACTCAGCTCAGACATTCGTGGCTCTTGTGAAGGTGGTGTGTGTAACTCGGGCTGCGTCCTCCAGAGACAGCGACTCTCGATACCCATGCAATGGAAGCAGATGGTGTTGCCACCCTGGGAGTTACGACCGCACACACAGCTCCGTAAGTCCTTGCCCTGCGCCACTTGATGGAAAGCCTCTCAGACCCGAGATAACATCCGAGAAACAGCACTCCACCAGGCTCGTGCCAACCACAGCCCTCAAAAGGACACTTGGATTTTTTAAGCAAAGCTACTGGTTTTATTACTGAATTATTCTAAGCAGAAAAAAAAATGATCTCTAGGACATGCGTTCAACAAAACTATGTAGTAACTAACAGGACAAGTTTAGTTGCTTTTCTTGTTTGTATTTTTAGTTAAACTTTTTAAAAAAATGTTTTCTTAGGTTTCTGGATAGTTATGTTACAAATATGTTTTCAATTACGGCAAAGTATACACAATGTAAACTAAAATGTGTCATCTTCCCATTTTTAAGTGTACAATTCACTGGCATTAACTGCATTTGCAGTGTTGTGCAATCGCCACAGCTTTTCATTTCTAAAACTTTTTCATCACTTCCAGGGGCAGATGTAAGCCTCATAAGTAGTTCTAGACTTAATTAAGCAAATAAAGGATGAGAAGTGGGCTGCTGTGGGTGATCTTTTTATTATATGATGTGTACTAGGTGGTACATTTTACTAGGAATGGGGAAGTTTCGGGTCTTGGAACTAAGTGATTAGGTCAGTGCTCACAGCAGCACCCAGAACTAGGGCTCATGGTCACAGCCCGGTGAATGCTCAGGGCCACCACTTCCTAATTTCCCTTGATCACATCCCTTGGAGTCTTCCATAGGTTCCCCTTGTATTTAATTCTAGCAGGCTTAACTCGCCAGTGTTTTCTATGTTGTTCTGATTTTGTTTGTTTGTTTGTATCAAACACAAAGTAAAAAAAAAAACCCATGATGATATTATGGCCACAATATTGCATTAATTCAAGTCTTAAAAACCAGAATCACTTTTCTCTTCAGACAGGAGAACATATTTATTCTGCCCCATAAATGAGAAATTCTTCCCTGCGTTGCTCCAGTCACTGGTGGCAGTCAGAAGACAGACTCCTGTTCCAAGTTCAGGCCAATTTCTCCGAGCCTGGATGGCTTTGAGTTCACAGATGCAAGTGCCCTGACATCGTGGTCACCTACTGAAAACAGACCTGGAAGGCTTTGTGGACTGCCACTCCCCAATTTTCCCATGTCCTACTTATCCTGATGTTACCCACCTAATCCACAGCTGACAGTGGAGCTGCAAAGGACTCTGCCCTTGGATATAGCTGTATCTATGGCAACCGTAAGACATTTTGGTGAATAACTTGGGGGGGGATCTCTCCTAAACTGTCAATGCATAAGTTATTTCTGGCTTCAAACAGTATTTTTAATGAATACGTATTTTTATTGTGTAAACACTCTCTTTAAGAGCTCTGTGTTCTCAGGGTGTATAATGGGAGGTGTTTGATTTCAGTTATGCAGCTCAAGTAAATGCTGTGAGTCAGAAGAAAGAGTCAATTATGCAAGGGGAAAGAGAGAGAGAAAGAGAGAGAGAGAGAGAGAGATTCCTGTGCAGTGATTGTCACTGGTACACTGGTATTCTGATTACTGCCACATGGAGCCTATCCCGAAGGACCTGGTGTTTAATACCAGTGTGACCAGAGCCTTGAAAGCCAGGAAGCTATGGCCATTGATGAGGCTGGAGAGAGGGGATCTCCTAAAGCTGACATCATTGCTTTCTGACTGGTCAGGCTGGTCACCCCAGACAAGGGCCAGGATTCCAACTGGAATGTTTTCCTCTACCTTGGATGAGAGGGATTGTGTGACTGGTGTGTTTAGGCCAGACTGCACAATCAGACATTGGGTTTGGGTGGTGTGGGGCGCTGGATGGCTGAGGGGGACTAAGTGGCTCCCTTTTAGGCACACAGTTGGAGTCCCCTCTGTTTCATGGGTCCCTACACCCAGTTGGCCTCCTCTGACTGCCCCAGCTGCAGCGGCCTGGAGATGGAGGGAGAGCTGTCCCTCTGTACAATATAGACTCTCAACAGGGGCCCACCCAATGTCCTTTTCTGTACACATCCCACAGAGAAATAGGGTCTCCCTTGGATGAGATGTGTACCTGAGCTACACAGAAGGACATGCATGTTTCCTACCACTGCCCAAATGCTCCTGATTGAGGCAGGTGTCCTGTGACACTGTACCCCAAGTTCCCATGCAGCACGAGTTAGTTCGTTTCAAGGCTGGAGGAGGAAGAGATGGAATGAGGGCAGGTGCAAGGTGTGGGTCACATAGCACAGAAAAGGAGCTATCAGGGTGTGTCACAGCAGAGAGCCTGAATATTTCTAGGTTGTAAGAAAAAAATTTGCTAAATTCATAGTGATGGACATGAGCAGCCCTGTCCGGTGTGGCCCAAAGACTACCTTCTGTGTTGGTGGGGAACACAAACCTTCAGATTTCCCCCATGTGTAAAGATAAAAAAAGCAGATTAACCCAAACAATTCAAAATTAATTTAATATTATTGAAACAATTACATACTCTGTTTTCTGATTTGTATAAAAACAAGGAGACACTTGCCTTTGGAAATGCATTGTCTATCAAGATCTCTGCCCTTGAACCCCTGCAGAAGCCCTGAAGACCAGGAATCAAAGCCCTGCCGGGCCTTGCTGGTAGGAAACTGAGTAAGGAGAGGAGCATCTGACATCTCATCTCACTGGCATTTGACTTTGTTCTAAGTCCTTTCTTCTGTTTCCTCCAGTACATTTTCTGCTGAGGTTCTGCAAATGGGCATCAGGATGAGTCAGAAGCATCTAAGTGTACTTCGCCTTACAGGTTTAGTGATTTAATGACGTATTTCTTGGCATATAAATGGCTTTCGGTCTCTGTGCGTCAGATGCACTCCAGGCAGTGGCCCTCGCCTCTCTCTGAGTTTGTTTGGTGACACAGCAGACCGGCCTCTGGAACCCAAGATTAAAAATCCAACGGTGTTTGGGAACGTGGGGATAGGATTGGGATTTGGTTATTCTAGGGAGGGGCTTATTCCATAACTAGTTCCCAAGCTGAAGGCTCTGTCTATACAGTGACAACAGTATGGGGAGGGCGCCATTAGCCCTCCCTGGGAACAGACTCTGAGACCGCAAAGCCTGTGATCCAGCATGTGCTGGGGCTGAACCAGTCAAAGAGATCCCTCCCCAAGGTCACACAGAGGCCTCAGGGAAGCTCAGGATGCTGGCTGGTGGGAGTGCTGAGCAACTCCTATGCTGGGCTCTGGCACAGGGGTCTGGACCTGTCACCAGGGAGAAGCAGACAAAGGAACATGGCTTGTAAATGTCTCTTTGGGCTCCTGATGTTCTTCTTTCCTGCAGACTCGACTGTCTCTAGCGGTGTCAGGGACTTGAAGGTCAGTGGTACACAAGGAGAGAAGCAAAGCAGGAGAAAAGGTTGTCTTCACCCCTTCTCGTCTCCAGGCCGTCCAGAAAAGAGGGACATACTGGTTGTGTCCTGGGACTTCTGCCTCCTTTGTTCTACTTGGTGTCTGGGGAGTCTTTCCTGCCTACTACACTAGGGCTTGAAAGGACCCCTGGCCTGTCAGGAGAAGGGTTGGAAGTGTCCAGGGACGCCCCAATGTTGAGGGATGATCTGCCGCAGCAGTTGGCCTCTATCCTTGGTTGTGGTCATCAGTAAACAAAGGGATGACTGGGGTTCTGCTGCCTTCCTTGCAAGCACAACGTCTTGAGTTCGATCCCTGGTACGAAAAAAAAAAATATGCCACTGCTGCCGCCTGCCTCAAAGCCATGAAAAGAAAAGGGTGGGGGGATGACTATGGGTGGTGGGAAGAAATTCAGGTCTGCATGGCTCCTGGCAAATGAGATGCACAGATGGGCACTTCTGATGGGCATGTGATGAGCGTGGGAGGGCCTTCCAGGAGGGGACAGCCGAAAGCCAGGCGTGGCGGTACATCCCTATAATCCCAGCACTCAGGACACTGAGGCAGGAGGATCTCCAGGAATTTGAGGCCAGCTTAGGCTATATAGTGAGTTCAAGGCAAGTCTGAAGAGACTCTGTCTAAAAAAAAGTGTGTATGCAGTGGGGGAGGCTGGTCCAAGCAGGGACCATTCAGAAGATGACTGTATTATTTATTCTGAAGAAATTAATGGGCGTCAATTTCATCAGTGAGAAGAGGAAACAGGTGGAAGGCAACATAATGTTTATTGAAGCCCTTGAGCTGGGTAGCACTGCTGGGTGGGAGTGTGGCTGAAGACTGAAGGGAAAGTAAAAGCCACTTTATGTTGTGTCTTAGCCCATTTTCTGTTGCTGTAACGGGCTACCCAAGACTAGGGGATTAATAAGGAACAGGGGTTTCTTTTGCTCAGCCTAAGTGTCAGCATCCTGGGAGGGCTTCATCCTGCAGTATGACTTGACAGAAAAGCAGAAGGGCAAATGTGCCTGTGCAGAAAAGGGGAGAAAAAGTTGCAGGCCCATGTTGTTAACTCACCTGTGGGAGGGAGCTCATTGTTCTCCTGACCCTGTCAGCCTGGCTTGTGACCTGCCCTGAGGGTTAATAGAGAAGGTGAGTTTGTGAGGGGCCTTTGCCATGGAGACCCTTATGCAGCCAGGGCTTTAGACTGTTCTGCATACAGCAGGTGGTCAATCAACGTGTGTTGCTGAGTGTCTGAATGAGTCACTCGGCACTGGCAAATGGCAAAATAAGAATGGAGAGAGGTCAAAGGGTTGTGAGTTCGGAGGGGGAGGGAAGAGCCTTGTGGAAATAGAGGTCAAATGTGGGAGCCCAGCAGGTAAACTAAACTGAGTCCTGACTGGGGATGACAGCATGGTGGGGAGGGGTACACAAGGCTTGGAACTGACTGCTGCAGTGCCTCTGAGAACCTAGGGCTGGAGTCCAAGGGTGTGGAGGCCCCGGGGTTGGGCTGGGACCCTGAGTCCCCTTCTTCATCCATAGCTGATACATTTTGGTGCCTTCTTAAAGGTCCTAGGATCCTGGCAATCCCAGGCTTGTTCACAACAGGCCTTGCATTTCTCTCTGAAATAAAAATTTTATCTTAAAGAAAGAAAGAAAATGTATCCAATACAGCATGTCCTGGCCTCAGTGTTCTATTCGGATCTTTCCCAACTCCGTGGGGAAGGGAGGAAGTTATGGGTTCACTGGGGCACAAGAAGAGAACAACAGCGTTTTCTCCTTTGCCCCCCCCCACCACCTTCCTTAGATGTTTGGGAAAACCTATGTGGCCAGGAAGCGCAGAATTAGGATAAGGCACCCAAAGGTGCAGGCTAACAGGACAGAGTAGCAAGGGATTCTAAGGCAGCACAGTCTGGTGGCACAGGGTAGCCTTAAGGGGGCATTCCTGGTCCCAGAGTTAGCAGGGAGTGCCCAATTTCCCATGGTGGGGGGCAGATCAGAGTCGGGTTTTTGTTCTTCCCTCAGCTTTCCCAGCCCAGGGCATTAGACTTGCACAAGGTCCTCAGCGAGCCAGCCAGCCAGCAGGAGAGGGACCCGGTTCCTTGCAGGCGCCCAGCAGGTCCAGTCATGCCTTTGGGGCCAATGTGACCCCTAGCAACAGGCTGCTGGTACCTGCAGAGGCAGGGGTAGGGGCCTTTGCAGCGAGGGGCCATGGCGTTGCAGTGCCCAGGCGAGCGGCAAGAATGCCCTGGTGGGAAAGTGACGGCTCTCAAGCTTTGTAACACTCGGAACTGGAGCGCGAGGGAGTGGCCCGTGCACGAGGAGATACCGCAGGGCCTTGCAGGAAGGCAGATCAGCAGCCTTGGCGGCCTGCGAAGCCCGGTTCTCCCGACCTCGGGCTACAGTTTCAGCAGGCCCGAGGCAGTTGGGATGAGATCACCGATTGTGTGGCCCAGGCGGGGGGCGGGGAGGCGAGGAAGTGGGATGAAAAGAAGGGGCTGATAGGGGCCGTGAGCCCCGGGTGGGCCTCCGCACAGCGAGGGGGCGGGGCAGGCTTCCCACAGCGCGCCAGACCTGGGCCCGGCGCTGCCACCCGCGCAGCCACGCTGGTGCAGGGTCTGTGCCCTTGGGGGCGCCTTCCTGGGAAAGCGCGGGGCGGGGGAACCATCTTAGGAAAGATGCAGTCCCACCTCCTAGGAAGGAGACTGCGTGTTCACACTGCCAGTCCTTTCTTCCAGTGTGCTTGGTGTTGTCTGTGGAGGTGGAAAGAGGGGGACCTTCCGTCTTCAGGAGCTGTTCGATCCTCGGACTCCACTCCCAGCCTCTGGAGCCTCCGCCAGCGCCGACAACCGTTGGCTGCCGGTCTTTGTCTTTGCTGTGCGCTTGGGCGCGCCCCCTCCCGGCAGCTCTCGGCCTAGGGCTGAGCTCTCCCTTCCGTATCTTGCTGAAATTTCTTGTAAGGCTGCAGCCGCACCAACAGAGGTCGTCCAGCCTTCCTCGCCTAAATTAAATGCTTAAATGGAAGTGTACATAGCCCTGTAGCGGCAGCTTTCCCTCCTAACACAGGCTCGCAGGAGGGAGACAGAAGAGTGGGTTGGCTGGAACTGCCTACCTCCCCACCCCCTTTTTTTCCAGCAGGACAGACTTACGTGCTTGTGCCGACAATAGCTTCAGAAAATTGACTCATTTAACCTTTCCAAAGACGATATCTAAGCTGCAAGATCGTGGTGATTGGAAGACATTTTAAGTGAATATATCAAAAAGCTTTAGTTAGGATTAAATGCAAAATGCCAGAATTTCACTTTTAAAAATACACAGTCTAAATGCAACCTAAGCACATTTGTAAGCTGATGCAAAACAAGTACTATGAGAGCCCGCCCCCATTGTTTGTTCAGAGTTGCTTGAAAATCCTGGGAACTTTCTCTTCCTGACTGGTAACAGGGACATTTGGACTCACAGAGGGAATTTTCAAATCTCTGAAGGACTGAACTATGTGTGTCATGAAAAAGCAGACTCCCTTCCAGCTAAAGGTGGCCTGGAAAATGGGACTGAGGGCCCAGGTCTTGTGTAAGAGACTGGGCTCTGGCGTCCCCAGCCTGAAAGGGATTCTGCGCGCAGCCAGCTGGAGGGCAACTGCTCCAGGCAGCGTCAGGCACGTTGTAGGTGGGTGCGTTGTAGGTGTTCAGTAATTAAACAACACATACTCATAGGAAACAAGGCTTCTGCCTCAGAGGCACTGCAGTGCACCTGGCTTTCTAGAAACCATAATGAGAGGATCTTCTATTAAAATAAAACAAAACAAAAAAGATTAATGTAGTCATGATGCACAGAGACAAAACAGAACCTATGGTCTCAAGACAACTTGTGCAGAAGCAATTTGCTTCTGAAAGTCTAAACAGAAGATGCTTTAGTGCGTCCCAGCAGTTCCTCGGAAGCTGGCAAATAAATATTTCCACATGGAAGAAAATAGTCCTTTGAAATGTGGCTTGTTCTACTCAAAAGAAAAATACAGCAAGGTACCACTGCTTAGTGGCAGCGTGCATCCATTTATTTTTGCAGCTTGAAATTGTGCACCTTTCCATTAGGACTTAGATGGTAAACACTAATTCCCGCATGAATCGAATTAGTCCAGCCTCCCTTGCTGGTTCAGGAAGCAATAGAAAACCTCTCACTGACAAATTCTGCCTGCATTTTATGCTTTGAGAATCTAGTACATTAAAAACAATATTAGAATTCTGAACTGTGGCTCATATTGAACCTGTATTTGCAACTATTCTGTCTTCCATTTCTGAGTTTATTCCCCAAAGATTAAAAAAAAAACTGACTCATGTAACTTACCCTCTAGGTTTGAAACAAGCCCATGATCTGATCTGGTGTCAAGTCAGTGGGTGGCAGGAGAAAGCCTGTCACATGATAGCATTGTTTTGTATTCATACAGATGGCTTTTTTTCTTTGCTAAACATACTCTGACTAGAGTGTGCAGCTTCTGTCTGCTGCTTCCTCAGATTGGAGGTGCCTCCAGGGGGTTTGCAACCCTCGGAAACTGGCTCTGAGGTTTCAGAAGGACTCTTCCAGCCAGACTGTGAATCATTAAAATGAAAGTCGACTCTGTTTAGTACAAAAGCATAATTAATTCAATAATTTAATTCAAGCGAATTCATTCATTCATTTGCTCTCTAAATACTGATTAAAACCTGTTTTGTGTAAGAGGCTGCTACTTTTTAAGAGGTCACATTCCAGGGGTGAATTGGGTATGAGACGCCCACATGGCAAATATGCCCAAGAGCCTTGGATATTTGACTTAGACTTGTTCAGTTGCTACAAGATAATGGTACCACTGTGGGTGCCTAATCTGAGTTCTAGGTTTTAGTTTGTGTTTTAAAAATCAGACTCCCACTGCTTCTTTAATCTACAGTCTAATAGAAGCCAGGAGCTACCTGAAGTATGAAGCTGCTGTTCAAGAGATGACAAATACAGTGTCTCGTGCATGGAAAGAAGGCAGGAGACAGGTGTCCTGCTTTGTCTGCGGTGGTGGGCAGGGCCTGAGAATCAGCCTGTGCTCGTGAAGCAGGGGTCCTCTCCCTCCCATCTGTGTCCTCATTCCTACAATGTAAACAGCCACAGCTCCTGTTTCTCTTTGTTCAAACAAACAATAGGTTTCACGAGGACGAAAAAAATCGGGATCAAGAAGAAAACCAGGATCAGGTAAAAGCCTGATCCTTTCAGGGTGTTTACCATTTGTTCTTTTCTCCAGGGGAACAAAGTCCAACAATAATGGTATGAAGAAGAATTCACGTTTAAAGTTTGGAAAACAACTGAGTGAAGGTCTGTCCTTAATGATGCATAGACATACTTGTGATTGAGTCTTTGTAGTTCTCCTTTTTTCTCTTTGACTTCCTAACTGAAGAGCTGAAGCTCAGGGAAAAGAGTGGTCAAAAGTTGGGAATCAGTCCTTGGGCTTGGGCACATTTTGTTATAGTCTAAGAAATAGATTATACCCTCCCCTCTTATTATTTGGAGGCTGGGAATCCTCACCTAATCAGGGGACTCAATTTACGTCTAAGGAGTGTTTTGAAGGGAAGGGTGAATGAAGAAATGCCCTGGGCACTGGATCCCTCACCAGTGACCGAGGACTCTTTCCCTGCCTGACTGTGTTACAGCCACATCTGATCTGAAACTTAATCCCCTGGGAAATGCAGGGAAGACTTTGAGAACAAAGTGCATTATTCTTTGAAATAAGCTCAATTCAGAGCTCCATTTCCAGAAGGAATCCACATACTAGAATGTCTGACAGTAAGCCTGTAAGATTATATGGTTGCATTTTTTTTACATTTCTGGCTTTTTGTTTTTTCCCAATTACTATGAAAGACACTGGAGTGAAAACAATGATTTAATCTTTTGCTAGTCATTGTTTTCAGAGTTGAAAAAAAATCATTCTCTATTTTAACACATCCTTCCTTACACTCTGATGAAACTTTTCTTCTCTTTTGTGGTAGAATTGATTTATCCAGCTTATAGTCTAATATACCAATAATGGTTGATATTAAGAAATAATAAAGTTTTTGCCCCTTCCCTCACACAAATAACCTTTAAGATTTGGAGCTTACTGAAATTAAGCAACTCAGATAGAAACATAATTATCCTTCCTATCCTCAATCCACAGAAATTGAGACTAGGTTAGATGCAACTTCATTTTTGCAGAAATAGGAAACAGTGACCAGGCGAGGAATAGCCAGTGGTAATCTGCTAATGCTGCTATGCCTGTGGAGTTAAAGGAAGCAGCATAATAAAATGAGGTGAAATGAAAAGAAGAAGGAAAGAGAACCTTGAGTCAGGAGAGTTAATGTTTTGCACACAATCCATTAAACGGAACCAAGGGAGCAATTCCACAGCTACCCGGAGGCAGAACTGGACAGTGCGCACAGGCTGTTTGGGTCATTTCACTTTGGGACCAGTGTCATTTATCGGGTTAAATGTGTGATCCTAAAACACTATTTATAAGACTCTGGCTTTCAGAAGCTTCAAGCTTCACCAGGCTGAGACCTGCGTAGTTACAAATAACCCACTAATTTGATCTGGGGAGAGTAGGAAAGAGATACAGAGCACTAACAGATTGTGGATAAGAAAAACCCAAAGGAAGGAGACATCTGCAAAGGACATATCTGCTGGTATCCATTTACTAAAGGACTGAGGCTGAAATGCAGAGGCAGAATGGACTCAGTGTCAAGGGCTCTGGAAAGACGAAAAAGCAGAAAGCAATTTGGAGGAGTCGGGAGGAAAAGGGAAGCTCCCCTTTAAAGCAGACTTTGGTCTTTGCCCTAGTTAGTTCTAGTACTTTCTAAGGTCTTTCCTCAGTAAAAGTGTGGCAGTTCCCAGCTGGATTCTGCTGTGTGAAGCTCACGAGAGTGAGTACTGGGTAGAGGTGGCATCTGTTGCTCTGATAATACAGGGTCATTCTCCAGGGTCACTTTCTAAGATAGGAGTACAGAGCACATTCCTGGGCCAGGAGCTTCACATCCCTGGGAACTCATTAGCAAGGCACATTCCCAGGTCTCAACCAGACTGATAGAGTCTAGCACCCTGGAAGTGGGGCCAGCAATCTGTTTCATAATCTTTCTTCCCTGGGACTCTAGTCAGGGTGGTCCTTCCAAAGCACCACCCCATTCCAAAGGCCGTGATGGAGTTGGTCCAGGGCACAGCCCAGGCCTTAGGGTTTTGAGAGCTCCAGGTGATCCCAACATACACTATCCTAGTGTTGATAGTAGCCCTGTTACGCCTGCACTGACCAATATGGGAGCCAGCTGGGGGATACGGAGCACTTGAGACATGGCCAGTGCATTTGAGGAGCTGAATGCTTCACTTTATTAAGTTTCAATTAGTTTAAGCTCACACAGTGCCATGTGGAATGGCTGCCTTATTGGGCAGCACAGTTTTAGAGCCATGTAGAAATGTAATACCACCTTATTAGTTGATTTTGAAGCATAAGGCCTCATAGCACTGAATATTTAAGGAGATAAAAAGGCATTCAGGAATCTTTGGGAGTTGTTTTAAAATCACATTTGGTGATAAACAGATAAAAGGGTATGTTAGATCCTAGAAGTTCCTCCTGATTTCTTCTTGTCCAAGCTGAATTCACAGTTTTCCTTGTGCAGAAACCCCAATACAAAAGGGCATCTGATCCAGTTGGTCTAGGATTTTAATGAACATAAGAATTGCAAGGGATATTATTTAAAGCTCACATCCCTGGGTCTACCCCAGATGTTCACATATAAAGGTCTGGGTTGGGCCCTAGGAACTGTGTTTTGGCAAACACCCTGCTGATTCCGATGTCACAGTTTTAAAGAACAGGCTTTAAGAATCATGGTAATTGTGTTATTTTACAACTTAGAAAATAAATGTGAATTAGAGACTGTTTGTCCTTCCAGAAAGGCTGAAAAGAACATGCTTAAATAAAATGAACCTTCTTTATAATTCTTTCATGAATTCAATAAACTT